GATTTCATGTGTCAGAGATGCGAGAGAAAGATGCATAGAGATTCGAAGCTTTAATTGGATTTTAGAATATTTTTAATTAATGATCGTCGAGTTGAATCGCATTGCGTTGTTTTTCTATCGTATTTAATGTATATCGTGTATATATATATTATGCTATACGTAATATGTACATTGTACATTTTATATTTCAGAACAGTTCTAGCAATACTAAAAATACTGTAATAAAAATTTTTATAATATTGGGTCACAAATATTCAGAACTCTATCGTTCACAAATTTAATATTCTATCGTGTGAAAGTTCTATGTCTATTATTGGTGCTATACGCGTCGTGAATCCCATCGAGGGTGTTATGAACATGTTCATAAATTATGTGGGATTAACCCAGTAGGGCGAGAAGAAAGGGGACGACAAAATCGATAGAGAGACAATTTGTTTATCGAAAACGAAAGGTTAACCCCTTAACCTACGATTTACGTTCGAGAATGCTCGTAATATTTACGTTTGGTCCGATCATCTACTACGGGCTATGTCCGTAATATTTACGTTTGGCCCGATCATCGTACTACAGGTTATGCCCGTAATATTTATGTTTGGTCCGATCATATACTACGGGTTATGCCGGTAATATTTACGTTTGGCCCGATCATCGTACTACGGGCTATGCCCGTGGTTGTAGGTTAAGGGGTTAAACGTCTAATTGCGAGTAACGGGTACGAGAAGGAAATTAATAGTCCAGCTGGTTGCTTGGATGTAAAGACGTCTACCTACTAATTAAAATCTCTGTTCCCGGATGAACCGACAGCAGAAGACTGTAGATAACTGGAAAGCTTCACGTACCTTTTCAAAGTGATTATCTCACAAAGAAAGAGAAGCCTTTAATCCAGCATGAAGCTGGACATTTAATTATAAAAAATAATACTCACTTGAAAAATGATTTTTCTGCTTAAAAAGAAGCTTTGTCTAGAAATTCTTGGCGATTTTCACATTAAAGTTCTCCATTTTTTTCTTCCTCGTTGGGAAAGTTCTCTCAGAGTTAACATCGTTAACCGTGACTGATTCTCGTCACGAAAATCTGAAACATTCTGCGCTATTCAATTGTATCAGTTATCCGTTTTTTCTCAAACTAAAACACAATATAACATTATACATTATTAATATATAAATAACTTTATACTTCTTCAAGACAATCAACAATTCTCTTACATCGTGTAAATCAAATATTCTTCAACTTCGCTTCTCCCTCCCTGGAATTATGCAAAAGTACGATCATAATAGAATATCTTAAAATTTTCTCCCGAGTATTCTCAGATATAATCTAAAGAAAAATCCTCTCACCCTAACTGTCTGTAACCTTAATCAAGTACAAGTACTAAAAAAGAATAGTTCTCTTACATCTCTTAAAACAATCTTAAACATCCACCATTCTTTCACCACCATTCTCACTATTCTACATAACTCTTCTTCCCCTGTACAACCATCGTCCATTCTCTCGGCTGAAGTCGATCGGAATTAAGCGTCGACCATTACGAGAGCCCTAAAACTTTCGAAGGTGAACGTAAGAAGACTAGAAGCCAGTGGTCGATTCACTGACCCTTTTCTGCCCATTTGAATTTTATACGACGGGTCTCGAGGAACCCGTTGACAAATTCCATTCCCTTAAGTGGAGGCGCGGCTGACGTGTCGGGTTTCGTTCTCGTTCCTCCGTTCTATTCAGCCGGCGAGTAGCTTGACGACGTGGCGAGATACACCGAAACTTTCTCCGTCCCGGGCACCATCGTTTTCTTCCTTCTCTGTGTGTCCCGACGTCTTTTCCCTGTGCGAGTAACCACCTTCTGCCAGCCCTTTCTCACCCCTCGCTTTCCCCATCTTACTGGGAAAGCTGCTGAGAGGAGCATCCCTTTTCTGGCCCCCATACTTCACCGATACCGTGTCCCGACTCCTCTCTCCACCTTTCGCCCGCCCCTTTCTGCCGCGTAGCTTTGCTCTCGTTACACTTCGGCCCTCGTGCAACCCCAAAACGTTACGCTTAGTTTGATTCAGCACGTGGTACCAGCCACTTGCCCTATCTCTTCCACTCTTTTCTCTCCTCTTTCTGTCTCCTACCCCTCGCCACGTTCCACCCCTCTATATTCTACGTTCTCCCTCTGCCCGATTTCGACACCCTCACGATGCGAATACTTTTCACGTCCGCCGGTGCGAATTCGCGCGCTAATTGCATGACGATCTGTAATCGAGGCGATCGACCGAGCTTTTTTCGAGATGGATCGTTTGAGAGAGAGTTGATGTTTAGGGAGGGAATATTTCTTAGGGTGGAAATACACTGGCGGAATCTTGATGATTATTGACTGACTGATTTTTCGGGAGCAAAGGTTAAATAGAATATAGGGAATTGCGATAATTTTTTTCTTTTTTCGCGATTTCCATCGAAACGTTTAACTTCTTGCTTTTTCAGATAAATTTTTTAAACAGCTGCTTCGGGTTTTATTGGCGATCGAAGTATAAAATTTGTGTTAAGGGAATGGAAACGAATAATCGATAATGCAAGGAGAGAAATAAATTTTTGAAAATCATCCTGATACTTAAAAATTCACCGATTGTAAATCTATGAAAAATTTCTATAAAAAAAAAAAAAAAAAAAATAATAGAATTTGGAGATTTCAATAATTCTGTCAGTTTTAATGTGAAATAATGTTAAATGTGCACCTTATATCCAAATATCATAAACGTTTTGTTAAATCTCATATAAATTCTTCTTAGTTAAAAGAGCCGAAGCTGAAGTTCAAATTCAAGCTAATCCCCGTCACAAATCTAATATTCATTTACCGGGTCGAAACTATAACCGCTGCCATCAAATGTACCTCCAGGTTATATACGGCAAAAGGTTATGTTAATTTCTGACCGTGTGCTTATTCCAACTTGTACCATTTTCCATTATTAATCAAAAGGAATTTTTAACTACCTCTCGGGAAGAATTACTTTTACTATTTTTCTGTTGTTGAAAAACCAGATAAATGAAGCTGCCAGCTGGTTTCGAGAGACTGGAAAACATTCAACGTGCTCGCGGTTTAATGTATAGTTAAATACTCAGGTGTAACGTTTGCCTGGCTAACCGGGTTTCATTTTTAACGGCTCGTCGCCGCTTTCGTAAACGGGAATAACGTTGAAATGCAAACAAAATCACGGAGAAAAGAGGCCGCGAGGAGGCGAGGGAGGAGAGGGTCCGGTTTGAAGCGAAAAGCGAAACTCCGGGACGACACGGAATTTCTGGAATTTCCAACAGCCCCGACTGCTTTACATATTAACTAATTCCGCTATCTGGCCTGGCAACTTTGGATTAGACGATTCCCCAGTTAGCAATACCGCATAATGCGATGCAATGTTCGAGGTTGATTGTAAGTTCTCTCATGGAAATTGTCATTATCATTCGCTAACCGGTTGGTTAGTGCTAATGTAAAAACTACTCCGTTCTCGTAGTTTCGTCTGTCTTTCCTGAAAAAGTTTCTGAATTTTGCACGTCGTATCATTCGTTTCCACCGAGTTTTACGGGTTTCCCTCTCGCCATACAACATTCGGTGTAGGTATCCTTTGTTTTAATTCGAAATCCATTACTATTAATCAAGTTTAAACAAAATTTCAATCCATTCTGAGGGAATTAAGGACTTTTGTAAATTATTTTAAACGAAAAAAAAGAAAAAATAGGGGACGCTGATATTGGGAATATCCGTGTTGGAAAATAGTGAAACATCGATGCAGGGCGGGACGACAATATTTTTCCTAAATACAGGGGAAAATCATTTTCGCGTAGAGTGTGATACGGTAAACTGGTCCGCTTTATGAACGATTGAACGGAATCGAAATGGTCCTGTGCTTTTTACGTGGCCGTGCACGCGAATAACGTTACATGGATCATTTTTGTGTCGGCGCATCATCTCGTTACGTTCCACGCTCTGATGAAGTCATCGGGGAGCAGCGACGAAAAAGGGTAGAATTGAAAATTGCCGCGATAACGACTACAGGAAGCCTCGTTGTTTGAATCGCTGAAACAATGTCCGCCGAAAAATCATAAGCTAGAAGACACGATTTCGTTCGATACGATTGGATTACAAAATTTATCGAATATCAAATGGACTATAGCATAGTATGGACCACGATATATTAAAGTTATAAATTGAATTATCGAGTAACAGTGTCGATTGTATCTTGGGACTGTGAACTTTAAACGACACGTGATTAATAATGTTGCACTTACTTGCAACTAATATTTCAAGAAATTCGTAAACGAAAAAAGTTGTAATGTAACTATTTTTCGTGGGAATATATTGCACAAAGTAGGTTAAACGTTGTTTTTTAAAATTATTTTGTTGGCCAATTAAAAATCTGATTGGTGATCAATAAACTGCGGATGTTTATGCATATTCATATTTTTATGAACAGTAGTAAAAATATAAAATCTGAATAGAAATTTTTTTTATACACTAAATATTGTAACGAATGTTTTTATGTTGGATATTTCGTATATCTTTGCATTTGTGTATTCTGTATATTTCTGCACGTATAAATTTCCCATAAATATTCGCGTACTAGTGATCAATGTTCCATGATATGAGCACAGTATATAAATATATAAATATCGAGATCCAGCAGATATAGACCAATATCAATATGTCATTCAACCCACGGAGAAGCTATGCTGGTGAAAGATCAGATACGATTTCTAGAGGATCCGGAAGACTCAAATCGTAACAATGAATTACATTGACTGCGTATAAAAAATTTCTTCCATTCCTCTAGCAATTTCTTTGCCCTGATATAGTTACAATCTATCGTGAAGTTCTAACTTCGTTCCAATTAACGCCCGATTAAATAACCTCCCGTTAATTGAATCCATTATCTAAGAATCAGGCTATTATATAAATCAGAAAATTCCAATTAAACGAACTATGTTTGTTCCTTAACAGATTCTTCATCTTCAAGTTACATAACAAAATGACGAATAAATGTAGAAAAATATTCGTATGTATCTTCTTCTTGTTTCTACGCAATTAAACAACATATTCTTCTTCAGCTTCTATGACCATTCACTCACAAAATTCTCAGACTTTTCGATCCCTTTTCGACAACCTTAAACATAATTACAAATCCAAAACGATCCACGCCAAATCCTGGTAACCCTATATAAACAAAGTTCCACTGTGCTTCGACTATTGACTTTAATCTTACGACCTCACTATATCACGACCCCTATCATACTCCTAAAACCTCGAATCCCCAGAACATCAGCGAAACATCGCAATAGCTATGAAATCCATCGTTTCTTCAAGGCTATGGGCATCCAAACTGCCTCGTGCAGCACGCACGAGGGTTTCGCTGGTCTCGTGAACTACGAAGGTTAATCAATTCCAGACGCGGCGGCGTTTCCGCAGACTTAATTCGTGCTACGGTGCAGGGGGCCGTAGCTCGCCAGCTTTTCCCATTATTATCCGACGTACGGAGGGTTGGAAGCGCACCACAAGGGAGTCTGATGCCGCGAGCTGCCTTCCAAGGATGAGGCAAGACCGTTCCTCTCTCTCCGTGTGGCTCTTGTTTCCCTTCTCTGCGTGTTGGCTTCACTCTCCCTCCCCCTTGTTCCCCCTTTATATTCACCTCCTTCTGTTTCCGAGTCCGGAGCTACGTTGTAGCAACTTTGTTCTCCGGAGAAATTCCCCGTAGCGCTATCTACATATTTGATGTCGCCTCGTCCACTCCGCTAATGCTTCTCGTTAGAAACTTACCGCTTACCCGCGACCCGTGTGGTTTCTCTGCTTTCTCTTTCTCAACGTTTCACCTCTGTCCTCCTACCGTTTCTTCGTCCCTCCTCCACCAACCGCCGGTGCAGCAACTCGCTTCTTCTCATTGTCTACGGTCTGCTTCCTTGGTGACCCGTCCTCCAGCCCGGGGTCAAAGCGTGAGGTTTTAACCTGGAACGGTAAACGCTCGTCAAAACGTCGACGACCACCGTTGGTTAGAGGGAACTTGGCGACTCTGTCCACGGAAATGGACGCTGTTGATTCGGAAATGGTCGACGGAGTTCTTCATTTGATACTTTCTCCTTTACGAGGGGATTTTATTTTTTTTTGATAATGATTATTATTTTTTGATAACGTACGTACTTGTGTGTATTATCGTACACATGTGTGATCCACTTAGAGATCGAACTGCATTAATAATTCTTAGTTTTAATATTAGAATGTATGATTAGCGTTCAAGTTTTGAGAAACTATAGGATTTAAGTTCGGAGTAATTGATTGGTTTCGTGTGATTTGTAAGCGTATTTACCTCACAGTCGGTGATCTAATTTTATGATATTCCTGTGTAGATGGTTCTTCGATGAATTTTGCTCCCCAAGCATTTCGTTATTTTGAGTCAGTGTGAGATCGGGGGAAATAGAATAGAACGTTGATAAATTTCCATCTTTCTGCTACGTCTTTACAATTTTTCTTGTAATCCTTTAATAACGATTGAAATATCGTCAACAGAGAAAACAGAACTTGTACAGTCTCATATTACAGAATTATTTCTAAATTTTCGTTCTCGTTAATGGATAGATATTATCGTTGTAATATCTGCAGCCAGAACAATAAAAAGATAAACATATTTTCTGTTACATCGTAGAATATCCGTATATTTTTTGTTTCATGTTTTTCTATTTGTTGTTCTGCTGTGGAATATATGTACCTCTAGATTTTTAATATAACAATATTCTCTTCCATTCAACCCGCATATGCACCCTGCCGGCTCTCCATTTTTCAATTTCTCACGATTATCGTTTTTTCCGTTTCTATAACGACGTTCCGTGCGAACAGAAAGAGACAAACGCGGCAGAATATTTCGCGTAGCATTCCAGGTCGTCCAGGTCGTCCCGTATCATCCGTTGCGTCGTTCTCGATACGCCATTAAATTTTTCAATTTGCTTCTTCTAACTCGTTCGACTCTTATTGCCTTGTTCCCGCTATTCGAGTGCAGCTCTCCATAAGCGGATGCGCGAAAGGAACGCGCGCACCGATCGAAAGGAGAGGACGGAATAAAAATCAAAGGAAAAAATCATGCACCTACTCCGCGAGCACGGTTCCCTCTAAAGGAAGAGTTTTTATTTTCGTTGTTTTCCCTCCGTGTTATTAAATTATTCAATTTCTTTTTTCCCCTTTTCCTCCTCGTTTCCCGATGCCCGTTCCAATAACGAAAAAATACCAGAGTTCTGTGTAACAAAATACTCCACAAGAACTATATTGCCCAGTAAATGAATACATATTCACCCGGCTCAATCCTCCATTTCTATTTCCTTTAATTCCGTTTCGTTCCAGAGTAAATTGTTAGACGCCGTTTCGAATAATCAGAACAGATGTGAAACGAAGAAATGCTTTTAATAATAGAGAATTATTTCCATCTTTAATGATTTTTCATCTACCATGTGATCGCGGACTTTTATTTATTATTCATTTTTATTCTAATGAGCAAACAGCGTTTAATATTTGAGAAAAATTCAAGTATACGAGAAATCGTACGTGTTCACAACGATCCGTGCATAGTTTCTTTATTGTTAAGAAATATTTTAATATAAAAGCAAAATGATCGAAAGAACAGTAGGATTAAGATAAAATCTGTCCAGCCAATATGCAGAGCATAATTCATGGTTGCAGATAATACGACTGGAGAGCAAGGGGTGTGGCTCATTTTGCGAAGTTACGTTTAACTGAGCTCTGACTAAGCCCGTTATATATTCCAGGCCGTAAACTCGTCATTAAATCAGGCGCTTCGGTTATTCGTAACTTATCGCAACGTTTGAAGATCCATCCTATATACGTGATGTTTCTAACAGTCGGTTTCCTTTGAAACATCACAGCGCCCCTATAAACATAGCTATGTCTCACCCTCGTCACGTTGAACATCGAACAAATGCTTTTTATTTTCCGCTCGAATCACTTTCGCGCGTACAGCATCCTCCAGCTATTCCTCGTCCAAAGTTCTCGCAGTGATATCGCAAGGAAATATTGCCTGATATAAATTCGATCATGCGTGTTCGTAAAAAATATCTCCAACTTTCAGAAGATATATTTTCACGATCATTTTTTGAGAAAGTTTCCCTTCAATCTTAAGAACTAGGTCTCGAATTTAGCTGCTCGCGTTATGACAATACCATCCCCTCCATGGTTACAGCAATCCTCTTTACAATTCGACGAGTTAAATCCACGAAAGTTACGCGGAGAATGTTCCCTTTCGAACAGCTGATGACATTCCATCAAGTTACATATGTATCATTGTTTACATTCCATTTGTTCAAAGTTGATCCTCCCAATCTAAAATCGTCGAAAGCCCTACGAAATTTAAATCGCAGACCGATTTAGATAAAAATTTATAAACGAAAAGCTCGTGAACCTTTTACAGTTTCAAGGTTTTTGCTGCGTTAAAATTTGCATTCTTTAAGTTATCTCTGTGGCCTGGCTTTGTCCCTAAATAACGAAACAGGGGATCTTTCGCTGGCTGCGACAGACATTCTTCGCGGTGGCCCCCGGCCAGAAACGGCCGAGTTTTTATCAAGCTCCTACGGCGACGCCTTGAAATTTTACGCAGCCTTTCGCCCGTTTACCGTCGTAATTCACGGCGAATCTCCATAGGGCTCTAAATATCTTAACAAGTTTAATACTTCGGCCAGGCTGGTAATTTTAGCGAAGGGCCCCCTCGGGACTTGAATTATTTTCATCCGGTCCTTAGACCACCGTGATATTTTTCCTTTCCGCGCCGTTCCATCGTCGTGCACGTCTTCTTCGATACTCACCGGATTCACGACGATTTCCATGAACAATTCGCGGAAAACACGAACTACGCGTTCGAAGCGAGAAATCATCCTGAGAATCTTCTAACGGCGCGTGAAGATCATAGGTGTTCTTGAGTATTTTTTGAAAGAAAGTGGTTGCGTTGGAACTTTCTTACGTCGAAAGATTTTCAAATGGCCACTTATTTAAATGTCTACGACCTTTATCGCGTACTTTGCGATATTTTGCATACGATATGTCCTAAAGAATATGGATTATAACACAGATTACATTGAATATATCGAATTATATGCTATCGACATTATTATGTATAAACTTTTGAGACTTCGCATCCAAATATTCACCACCTGCATAAGAATCCATTTGTCTAAATATTCACGTACATGTGAATTCATAGTTTTTTGTTCTTAAATCGTGTGGTAGTAAGCGTGCGTGCCTCTTACCGTGAAACAGCTGCAGCGCGGATGTTCTGTTGAATAAAAGATACACCTATGTCGTTCCAAATATGCACGATAAATCATTTCAACCTGATTTTCAATTTACACGCTTCGCGAGTTTCCACTTAAAAATTGCTGAAGATATCTATGATTTTCGTTATCAGGCATGGGTTACCCTCTTAATTTATTCATTGCTATTCAGCTGAAGTTCTCGCGAGCTTTCACCGGTTGTTAATTAGTTTTCTTGCTTTCTGTTAAAAGATTCACGATTGGAGAAAGCAGTAAACTATCCTAGATTTCCAGTGGAGAACGTAATTATACAGGGACCGTATCGTTTCACGTGTAAGTCGCACGGGGATGAATTCGCATTGTGACAGATTAACTTCTTCTCGCGTGGCGAATCCTCGCTATGATATATCGCGTTTCACGGATTGAATCGGAAGGATATCGATCATCGCGTTAAGTAGCTTTCACGGCACAGGGGACATCGGATCTGGACACATGTGCGGAACGAATCGCCGCAATTTACCGATGCGAATCGGTGACACATGAATGGGGAAGACGGTCGATCGCGCGTGCTAGGGGTAGCAGACGGTGCATTCTCGCACAAAAATTCACCCGTTTCTACCTTTTCACCCTCTGGAGTGGCTTCGATGGATTTCGATAAAATTCCAAATTTCTCCACGCCACGCGCTCATTCCATTTTTCTCCGGTCTTTTAACCGATCCCATTCGTTTAATGGGTGTACTAATTTTTGTCATCGCGGACTTCTCGCATGGAATCGGTCGGCTGTGAACTTTTCTGCTATTCCGCGCTTTAATGGCCTGTAATGGGAACATTTATCCGAGAAATTAATTCTATAAAATCGTATCGTGAATCATGGAACTTTGTTCTGGGTATTTTCGAACCTTGATACCTTTACTTTTACCGTAACAATATCTTTCCTATATAAATATTTAAAATTATTCTGCGTAGGACTGTGAGAATAGAAAGGAAGTTTTAGTTCTTATTTAACGTTCGAAGACCCCCTGACAGAAACGATTCTCGTCGATATTCATTTTTCTCTAGAAAAAAAAAGATGAAACTCTGATATGCTCGATTGTTGTTTTTCTTCAACAATGTGTTCATTGCATCATAGAAATTTTTACGAATATATCTGTATTCGTATTAAGAATTGTATGTAATTAAATCATGCAGCAACGAATGACCATGTTCCGAGTCTAGTTTTTTATTATTAGGATACATCGTTATCTTGAAAATCTTTCAAGCTATTGAACGGTTAAAAAAAAAGACAATTGTCAGACACTTAGAGGGATGCACGATAAATACGATATGTTGAAATATCTGGAAAATAATTACGTGGAAAGAACCGATCGAGACTCGATTTAGAATGACGAGGCTGTAGAAAAAGTGGCGTGCACGGTTCCTCGTTTTCGACGATAATAACCGTGTAAAAGGACGCAACTGACCGGCCCGCGTTTTATTTCCACTTATCACGTTATCTACTTTCCCATTACACGTTCTTTCCACGCCATGTCCTATTGTTATTGTCGCTACTTAACGCCACGTCCAACGGCAGTCAGTCGCAGCCTTCTGCTTTCGCTATTTTGCCTCCCGCTTCCGGCTGATATTGCGCTCTTATTGGTGGCAAAATTCGATGTCGTTCGTGTTCAATCGCGTGTACCCTTTTATTCTTCGTTAATCTCCGCA